CCAACATAGGTCTTCTTGTTGGTTGAAATAGCTATTCAAATGAGGTAATTTTGGATTTCTATTCTATGTAATATAAGATTAATGTGAGTAAAAGTATGTCACTTAGCTGATTAATGTTACTTTCAGCATATGTAACAAAATTCAAATAACTACAATATATATGTAAAAGGACAATATGAATGATAAGATAAACAAGTGCTGCGATTGAATCTTACCAAAATATAAATTTGCATCCTGGAGTTTTTCAAATATCTTCATTTCTGACAGAATTATTCCTATTCCAAGCCAGCATACATTACTATAAGAATGTTAAAAATTAAAAGATAAGGGTTCAATTCATAACCTGTTATTTAAAAAGGAGGAAAAATTTCTATATCATTTACACAATTTCATTTTTAGACATTAAATTATGTCACTTAGCATCTGCCATAATATAACTAGACTTTTCAGTTAACCTATATATATGAGCATCATTTATTTTTTTGAAAAACACATGACATTTCTGATTTTCTTTATAAATACTTATTGCCAAATAAAATTTGCCTTGCATCAGAGGGCAAAATGCGTCCGTTAAGAAAATTTTTCCTTTTATTCATGTAAATCCCAATGTATTTTCCTTCATTGACCTGAAGAAGCTGGAACCGATAGAAGTAGGTGAAACATGTCATTTATAGATTTTCACCTTTGTCTCATCATCTCCACATACACACAAACCGTGTGTGTGTGTGTGTGCATACATATATATATATATATATATATATATATATATAAAGAAAGAACAGTAAGATATATAATCTAGTGTTCTTATTGATATTTTTTTTTTACAAAACAGTGCTCAATGTAAATTTACAGAGCATAAGTAAAATGGAAATTAATAAGAAAAGCTAGAATATGTAGGTCATTAAATGACCCATGTCCTTTGCGCATACATGAGAAACTATATATTACTAAGTTTATAAAAAATAAAAATTTACTGAATCAGAGAAATGAAATAGCTATTTTTTGCCATCATTGTCAAAAATTTTCCTTAAATAATATTTAAAAATAAAATTAAAAAAATGCGAGCTGGTAATATACATACTTATACTTGAAATGAAAAAATAATTTTATATAATATAAGTAATTCTATTACATATACTTGTTTTAAAAAGAAATATAGTCTATTAATAATTAATGGTGAAAATATTTTAAAATTGTAGTTATATAAAACGTATTCTGACCTAAACATCCCCCCAAAAATCTAAGTATACAAGTAGGAAAAAATTTCGAAATAATTTTTGCCGTTAACAATAAAATTTAAAAAAAAACCTAGACGACATGCATTTAACGGATGTCAGAATTCGTTGAAAAATACATCCCTACTCTCCCTAAACTTAACCCCTTTTTCGAACGTAACTAATAACCGATACAACAAAAGTTAATAAAAATGAATATGCAACCACCTCTTGTCTGAATGATTGGATTTCTCTGTATCCTTGGAAACAGTGAATTATGAATTTCTGTGTGCGTTTAAAACTCAGTAAATTTAAAAATAAGTTACTTCAATATTCGCTTGAAGATGAAGTGGAACTAATGTTTTTAATTTAATTACAAAATTAAATTTGAAGTTTTTAGCTTCCATTTTTCAAACATGGTTATTACTGTGTAGTGAAAAAAACATATTTTAAACCAGTTAATTTATAATATATATATATGTATATATATATATATATCATTTCACCCCAAGCAAGGCAGGAGTGCCACTAGTATGAAGTGAGTTACAGAAAGTGAATGTGAGAGAAAAGACTGGGTATAGTGGGGTATTGAGGAAAGGAAAAAAGATGAACAGAATTCAAGAAGACAGAAGATGGCGATTGATGTTACATTTAAATTTTTGAAGATTCTAGTTTTCAAGCAAGCAAGTAAATGAAAGGAAGGGAAGTGTGAGAAAAAGAAACTCTTGGAGTAGAACTGATGGTTGCATTTAGCTATTTCGATAGTAAAATGGTGGGACCTTGTTGCCAATCTAGTAGCATGCTTAAATTCACCAAGTCAGGGCGCCAGGGAAAAAAGCTTGTCAGAGCAGTTGCCATGAAAATATTTGTAGAAAAAACAGAGGGAAGTCACATTTTGTCAGTGAGAAAATGACTAAAGTCAAGATGCCAAGTCAGGATCAATTACATTGCATATCCTTCTTTGAATTTTGTCAAGAAGGTGAATAGCAGGAGCACCAGACCAGATATGGCAACAGTATTCAATGCACAGACAAATGGTAGATTTGTAAATGGACTGACAAGAAAAACCTTCTGGCACAACACAATGAACCAACTTTCCTTGTGGTAGATGCAGCTATTGGTTCAATGTAGTCATTCCATTTCAAGAAGGCACAGTGTGTCGCTCTTCAGGAGTCTTTTCATCAGCCATGCCGATTGCAGGCAGGAAAGTTTCTCTATGGTGGTTAAATGAGAGTTTTATTTTGGAGGCATTAGAATTTACAGGTCATTTCCTGCCCCAGTTAACCACTGATTTGAGGTCCTTTTCAAGAGCAGTCTCAGGTTAGCTTTGATAGTTTTTTGCTATTGAGACAGGAGTAAATGGTAGTGTTATCTGCATACCATTTACTTCTGTCTCAATAGTAAATCCACATCAGCTGACAAAATTAACCTGGTCACTGCTCTTGAAAAGGACATTATATATATATATATATATATATATATATATATATATATATATATATATATATATATACACACACACACAGTGATGTACAGTGGTTTGGTGATACCCATGGCCAACTCTTTTATTGTGTCCCCTAAAACTCAAGTAGGGGGTGCCCGTAGGGACTAGTACTGAGAAATGTAAGAAAGGGAGACATTTTAAATATGTAAAAACAGGTGAAACATGAACACTTTATTCAAATTAAATATAAACTAAATTTTTATTTCACTCTTTGATTGGATGCCCTCCTGATATGGTTACTCAGGGCTGTCACACCATCTACACACCACCCCAATTTCTATATGCACACACACTAAATACATAACACTGCACATGGTCGATTCATATGGCCCCATTGTCTATATCTAAAATGATAATAAATGGCCAGCTGCTATTTGTTTCTGACCTCATGGTGATTTGAGACTTTTATGCTAGCACAAACATCAACAGTATATAAATGGTTTTATTCACCCAATTTCACTCACAAGTCTGGGATCAACCAATGGCATGATTTTCAGGAACTTTCCAAAGGTTCCATGCACTGGAATCACCACCCTAGATAGATAACATCAAAAAGTCACCTAGACCAGCGCTTCTTAAACTTTTTTTTTATTCAGGACCCTATTTTTCATCTTAAGATTTTTTTGGGACTCCAGGTATTAACCAACTACACTGAAAATATGTTTTCCCTGCACTAGTTGCAACGTTGCCACGTGTGCATTTTATTACTGCAGTGCTTGTTTGGTGCATCACATTAAATATTGTGCATTTGTGAAATAACACATAAACTGAAATTCAAGTGTTTGAATTTAATTTTGGTGACCCCAGCATTTCACTTTGTGATCCCATTTGTGGTTGCAACCCATAGTTTATATAATGAAATGGATTGTCTGACAATTATTTAATATATTTTCTGTTTATGCATTATTTTTATAGATACAATTTATTTAAGTAAATGCTTGATAGAGTAACCAGTCTAGAAGAAAAACTAAATTCAAAACTAGCCTAAAGAGAGATGTGCTAGCTTGCCCAAGATACATTGCCACTACTACAGCTGCAGTACATATATTTCCCTTACAACCCAAGTGGCTCACAGGATTGATTGTGACAATATATACATATATGAAAGCATATACACATTTTGAAAGAGCTAAAGTATCAACAACTACAAATGTGTGTTGTTTGAATATGTCACTTAGAGCAGCTTTCACTTTGGACGCTATGCAAAAATGGTTAGAGTGTTCATCACAGGATTCTACCACATACATAGGGGTTGGTACTGCATCTTGGTTACAGAGAAAATTTACATAAAGAAAATATGAATGTGAAGGCATTTTATTGCATATAACATAGTGACTTTGGCCTATACTGTTAACATCAGACTCCTGGTTCCTCAGTGACTGTCTTTAGTCATTAGCAACAGACTTCAGTGTGTAAGTATCTTCAGTGAATGCCTAGTGAAAATATGCAAGAAACAGGCAAATAAGCACTAACTCAGGGGAAGCTTCTGCTCTGGAGATGAATTGATGGTGGTTTATATAGCATTGGAATGGTTAAAAAAAAACTGTTGGTTGAAGCTGTGCAGATTATTTCTGATTGGTCAGAAAATACATCTTTACTGAAAGTGGATACATGGGGCCAGCCTAAAATTGAGCCAGTTTGTGGCATCTGAACTGTGGCTGTTGAGGTGACCAGTTCTATTTTGGTTAAAGAGTGGAACTTCTGACAGGCCATGGCACACATGTTCACAGATATCTCAGAATTTATTATAGTAATAAATGTCTTTTTTTTCCCCTTGATAGATATTATATATAGGATATTTTTGGCAATTTTCCAAACTGTCACCTTAAATACCAGTTTTGAATTCTCTTATTTTGTTGCCATGATAAAATTATGATTAATGAACTTTTAATATTTATATAATCAGCCCCAATTATCAATGCTTGTGTTGTATTAAGATATAATATTTCATTTTTCAATTTTTAGTAAAATATTTTAAATATCAATTGCAAAGATTGATTGATTGATTGATTGATTGATTGATTTTCATACGGTTTAGTAACACTTTGCAGGTTATTTAAAAACAGAAAATATTTTTAGATTGTAAGTATTATTTTTTTGGAGATAATAATGGTTTAGTGATACAAGTCTTACTAATTAATCCATAGCTGAGGGGAGAAAGATGTGGATTTATACCTTAAAGGGTATTTACATGTAATATAACAAACCCAACTGGAATTGGAACTCAGCTCTCCGATTAATAATTCTAAGCCATTATCCACTACACCACCCACACATCCAAGCTTACAGTACCTAGTATTTCCAAGTGGTTACCCATTTCGGTACTGACCAAGCTCAATGTTGCTTAACTTTGGTGATCATATGGGAACCGGTGTTTCTATGTGATATGGCTGTAAGCCCAGTGGGAAAGAGCCCATTCATTATATTTTATCAGGATAAATAATTTTAAGATAAAAAATTAATTATTAATAATTTTTATTTTCCTCGATGTATTCTATTTTAAATGTCTTATTATTTCATTTCTTAGGATAAATTGGGAACAAGCAACATTAGTAGAGTAGTCTAAGCAGAGAAGGCCTGTTTCCATATAACACTTCTATGACAGTTCTATGCACAAGCACAAAGTACATGGAAAAACTAAATTAAAGACAGTTGAAAGATAAAAGTTGAGAAAAGAAACAAGAAAAATATCAGTAGAACTCGATGCTTCTTCTGTTTGAAGAAGATGAATATATAGCATGGTGCTGATACTTTCTACAAAGTGATTAATGAATTTACCAAAAGGAAACTAAGAATTGAATTAATTTACAAATTAGTAAGTTTTAAAAAATTGTGTTGATTTTATTATTTTCTCAGATTTCTCTCATAACCGTTAACAACTATCATGGGTTTCATGTCCAAGTTTCAAAGTCACTCATTGCTACAGCTTAAACACACTTGATGGCTTCTTAATTTTAATGCCTCCAAAACTAAACTTTTCTCCATTAATCATCTGAGAGACCCCTCTCTGCCTTCCATCAGCATGACTGATGCTATTCTCCAGGAAAGTAACTTGTTGCACCTTCTCAGGCTAATGTTCTCTACTGAGATGAAGTGGAAAGACTATAATAAATCCATTGCTAGGTCAGCTGATAAGCAAGTTGGATCACTGTGTTATGCGAGACAACTTTTCTCTCCAGAATATCTTACATATCTATAAGTCTATCATTCAGCCATGCTTAGAATATTATTGTCACATATGGTCTGGATTCCCTGCTATTTACCTTGATAAGATCAAGAGAAGAATCAGCAATATTATTGGTCCTGGTCTGGCAGCTCAACTTCAGTCAGTTTCCCACTGCCATAAGATTGTCTTTCTGTGCCTTTTCTATAAATACTTTCATGGTGATTGTTCAGATGTGCTCTTCCATATAATATCTAGTCTTTTTGAATTTAAGTACAGTACTAGACTGACGTCAATGACTCATCAATTTAAAGTTGATTTGGCAAGATGTAACTGTAAATTTTACATTAACAGTTTTTTTACTCACACTTCTTGCTTGTGGAGCACCATATTGACTATGCTTTCCAGCCAACTTTAATCTGCAAACATTTAAATGCAATATCAATCATTATCTACTGTCCTCCTGATTACTCTTTTCTCTTCCCACTCATTATTAATGTTTCTGTTCCTAATTCATCCACACCCTGTAACTCCTTGTGTTTTAGTGGCTTTACTACCTTGCTAGTACTGATTAAAAAAAAAAGAATAAAAAAAAGCTAATCGTCTGGTCTCATATCTTTGCATTTTATATTCAAGAAGGAAAAACAGTGAAACATAGAAGGTAAAAATAAAAACTTAAAAATGAGACACAAGATTACAGCACGAATTATAAGAGGGATGGTATCACAGCTGGTAAGTGTGTGTGCGCTTGGGTTACTGGAAATGGAAAAAAAAAGATTTAGAAGGGACAGATATGTTGAATATTTTCAAACCAAGAATATGAGGCTGTGAGTAAATAGCCATTTGAGAAGCAAAAAAAAAAAAAAAAAACAATACTGATCACCAATATCTAACAAAAGGTAAATCAGTGTGAAAATAAAATGAAAGCTTCTCAACAGTTAAGAGGAAAAGGTTACAGATGAATAGATGGACAGATTAAGATGAAGGCAAAGAAAAACTGTGGAAGCCACAATGCTACAGAATTAAGGTCAACATGACCTACTTTAGAATAACAATGTAAGATTTAGTTAAAGCCCATATGTTTGTTCAAGTACAAATAAATTTCTGTCTATAATACTCTGTATGCAACATCTAAATCTTTTCTCTCTCATATGTGTGTGTGTGTGCATACACATATACACAAACACAAATAAAATTAAATCATTTCAATAGTCAAGCCTATGTGTCACCATTATATCTCAAGTTATCTAAAAGGACACACTATGTGCCATATTCCTTCAAGATATGGCTGATCATGGCTTTCCACAGCTTCTTGTCTTATTATTCCCAGTAATGCTTCATCTTTTATGGCACCATTGTCTTCATAGTACTTGTTCCTTCATCTATTTGCTCAAACATTTCAAGCAGTTTATATCTCTTTTCCTCCAATCACGGTCCTCCACATCTTCCTTCTTTATTGCTTTCGTTATTGCCCCTTTACTATCAATCTTTGTGGTACTTGTTCCTCCATACATTTAATCAAGTGGGTAATATAACTTTCCATCTAATTACGGTCCTCCACAGCTTCCTGTATTTTGATGCTATCAGCAGTACTTACTCCTTTATAACCCCACTGTCTCTGTGGTACATGCTCCTCCATACATTTGCTGAAACTTGTCAAATAGGTTATATTTCTTTCTCACTAATTACAATTCTCCACAGCTTCCTCCATACATTTCCTCAAACTAGTCAAGAAGGCTGCTTAATTATTTTCTCTGCATTTCTTGCCTTTGATGTGCCCTGAAAATGTTAAATTCTCCCAAGATACTTTCCTTATTATGTCATAACAATTTCATTACTTTCATTGTTTTGTAGTTCATATTCTCCTTGTAAATTCACCACTTACTGCATACTACATCCATTCTTAACATTTGTTAGTAGAACGCCATTGCAATCATGTCAAGATTATGTTTTTTCATTTGTGATGAAATTGTCCAGCCTTTTGCAGGAATTGATAAGATTAAATATTACAAAGAAGTCTTGCAATCTTGTTTTTTGTTTATAAATAGAATCAAGTTCTTGTTTTTTTTTTCAAAAATAGTGTTTTCAGTTTGTCTTCACTATTTGACCATAGGTGGGACCCCCACCAACAGGTGCTACCACCCTGGGTCAGGATGGACCCGAGAAGAACAGCAATTAATAGGTGTGTGCCATGTTGGCAATTTTTAAGTATTACATCTTCACAAACTTTAATTTAAGATGTCATGTTATTTTTCTCATGCTCTACCCAGAAAGCAGAAAATGGTTTAAAATGTAGAAAAAGTTAAGGTATTAAACAAAGACCTGTTCTTGGCTTTCAACCAAACTTTAATATATATATATATATATATATTAAAGTTGAATTAACCTATGAATCACTCGATGAATGTTATTTTCCGTGTTTTTAATAACTACAAGCTGTATAAGGTCTTTTTTTTAAATCTGCAAGTACTTTCAACGGTACATTCAGTCATCCTCAAACATGGAAATTTTTTGTTTTTAGTAAAATCCAAGTAGCATCAGAATCATATATATATATATATATATATATATATATATATATATATATATATATATATAGATAGAGAGAGAGAGAGAGAGAGAGAGACATGCCTAATTGAATAAATTACAAACTTTATGCCTACTTATTTTTTACCATAATCCTTTCATATTCATTAATATCTTTTCAATATATTACAATTAAATAAAGCAAAAATGCACTGTAACAGTGGGAATCACTCTTATTTCCCAAGTACTTTCCATCTCTTTCTGAGGTCATCATCAGGAATGCAAAAACTATGTGTAGTTATCCATTACTGAATTCTTTTTGTGTTTAAATTCAGTAATGGATAGCAAAAGTGATTCTAACTGTTACAATGCATTTCTTGCCTTATTTAATTGTAATATATAGAAGAATATTCATGAATATCAAAGGATTATAATAAAAATAAGCAAGCATAATGTTTGTCATTTATTCAATCAGACATGCCTAAAAGAGAATTTGCTGCCTACATACACAATATATATATATATATATATATATATATATATATATATAAAAGCATGAAATCCAGGGTTACAAATTAATATCCATACAACAGAAATATATATATATATATATATATATATATTCTTGCTTGCTCAAAAAAGACAGACTAGACTTGTTATTAAAAATGGTTGCTATAATTTTGCACACCCAACGATTTTTTTTTTGTGCAATTGATTTTGCTGAGAAAAATTATTGTCTGTGTGTAAACGTAAATTTGAATGGAATCAAGAAAAAAAAAAAAAAAAAAGAAAGGGAGGAAAAAAAGAAAAATCAAATCGACAGACAAATGTTGGGCATAAAATTAATGCCAATAAATCTTTTCTTAATTAGTTTAAATCTCTTTGCTTCAAGACAGAAGCAAATATCACAAATTATAGAGGAAAAGAGATTCAGATAATGCAATTTAAAAATTTTAGCAACCCATCCCCACCCATTTCCATGTACACAAATAAACACATTAACATTCATATCTATAAATATATACAGTTAGGTATTGATATTGAGCTTCAACACACACACACACACACACACACACACACACAGAAATTGTTCCACGGACATTTTTTAAAATTTTTATTTGCTTTATCATTGTCATCATCATCATTGTTGTCGACCATTTTTTCAGGCAAAATTGAGCATTTCCCTTCATGGTAGATGGGTTCTTGTATAAAGATAAAAATGAGGCTTCTATTTCAAATACGAGTATCCACTATAATAATATTTAAAGTAATAATATGTCAGATTAAAATGAATCCATTAATTCTTTAAAAATTTATATAAATACTGGGTGCGACAGAAATACCTCTCATACAATGGTAAGACATTAGTAACAATGGTGTCTTCATCTAGATAATTCTATGCAGGGGGTATTTCTGTTGCATGTTGTATTTATATCAATTTTCAAGGAATTAATGGATTTATTTTTAATCTGACATATGCTGGAACTATTTAACTCATTAGCACATGTTGTCCAAGTTTTTAGAAATTTTAAAAATCCACCAGGCCTAAGATAACCATTTAGGTAAAAAGAGTAAAACTTTTAAAGAAAATTCATGCAGTAATGGGTTAATTTTATTATTATTATTGAATATATTATGAAACCTTTCATCAAGAGAAACTCCATCTTGTCAAAACTGAGCAAGTAAATTAATTTTGAAAAAGGCAG